TCTGCACACAGTGGCGGGGGGCGGGGGGGGGGGGGCGAGGAAGCCTAGTGCCTGCCCTAATGAACTGTAGTTTAAGGGCATATGGATATTAAACAGTGTGACTAATATAAAATGATGGTGTTTCAAGTGGATTAATTGAAAATGGGCAAATGGAAAGTTCAGGAATGGAATCTGGGAATGGATACTGGAATTAAATCTTAGAAATATGCCATTGTGATTTCCCTCGCCAGCACTCACTTCCCCTACCAATTTTTTTAAGGTAGATTTATCACAGAAAGCTCTAGTTTTCAGGAATATGTGGATGTAAAATAGAAAAAGCAACTCTAATAAGGAGGAGACTGCTCCCAGTATGAAAGTAGCACAAAATGATGACTACGATGACGACGATGATGAAAGCAGCAGCAGCAATATTAACATTTACTAAGCACCTACTAGGTTTCAGGTTTATGGCTTTTAGAGGGAAAAAATGACTACCCACCGAAAAGTGTCCACAATTAACCTTGTGATTAAGTTTGGCATCAAAGACTTCCAGTTCAACCTTCTCCTTGAAGGCTACCATGTTTCCTACTCCTTTCCACTTCCACTGACACTGTTCTCTGTGCCCTTCCCTGGCCTCTCACTCCTTGGTTTGTTATTTCTACTAGTCATGGCCTTCAGCGGACCTCTCCAAGTTCCCAGATAGTACCCCACAGTCTTTAGATTGCCATCCAGACCTTGGTTCACAGAGAAGGTGGATTTATTCTGGTAGCCATCGATGATAGGCTGGAGAACACAGAAGGACAGGAGAGAGACGACAGGTCAAATGAAAACAAGGAGGACAATGATACAGGAAATGAAAGAATGTTCTCTGGGTGAGGACAAATAAGTGATGCCAGGAAGCTATGACCTAGGTGAAAGTCCATGGCTGAGAAGGTCAAGACACTCCATAAACACTCCATAATAGAAAGGAGCTCCAATTTTGCCATAAAGCAGGTGTCAGCAAACTTTTTTCAGTAATGAGCCAAGTAGTAAATAATTCTAGGCTTTGCAGGCCATATGGTCCCTGTCGCGACTACTCAACTTTGCCATTGTAGTGTGAAAGCAGCCACAGACAATCCATTAACAAGTGAGTTTGGCTCTTCCAATAAAACTTTATTTACAAAATCAAGCAGCAAGACAGATGTGGCCTATGGACCATAGTTTGCCAACCTCTACCATAAATTAAAATTTGCCTCTCTGAGGCCTCATTATGTTTGCAATGTTGGAATCTTTCTAAGGAGGTAGTAGTGTAGTGGTTGAGAAAGTGGACTTTGTATCAGAAAGGCCTGAGTGTGAATCTCAACTCTGGCATGTTCTAGATGTGTGTCCTTGGGCAAATTACTTAAGCTCTCTGAACCTAATGTCTTCATCTGTAAAATGATAGTGCCTACCCTTCAGGGTGATTATAAATAGTAAATGAGACGATAATGCATACTTATCATTTAGCATAAGGCCTGGTCCCCAGCAAGTAACCAGAAAGTACTCGCAGATATTATTAGCTACTAAGGGGACTCAGTAGATAAAAGAGAGGGAGATGAGGGCTTATAGAGGATGTAATAAGATAGAGAAGACAACAGAGCCTGTCTGATTTGGGTGCAGTGTTCTCACTTTGACTACATTGAGGTAAGAATCTAGTCTTTGTAAAATTTTCTTCTGAGCTTCAAAATTCACCTGAAAAAAGAATATAAGCAATGAAACAAAAGACTTTTGCAATATTACCTCAAAGAATGGAAAATGAATAGGATAAGAAAAGGTTGTCTCACAGATTCTTGGATCATGGTCTCAGCAGATAAAGAATCCAGAATGATGGAACAGCAACAGATCTAATAAGGTATTGGGAAAAGGTCAAAAGTGAGCTCTTGTGTAAGCTCATCATTTTATCTGACCTTTCAGACTGAATACTCAAGCTGTATGTCAGCGCTGTCCAGTAGAACTTGCTGTGATAATGGAAATGTTCTATTTTGGTGTTACATTCTATGTAATATGGCAGATGCTAGCCACGTATGACTACTGAGCACTTGAAATGTGGCTTGTGTGACTGAGGAGCAAAATTTTTAAACTTATTTAATTTTAATTTACTTAGTACAGTCACCTCTGCCATAACATAAGAGTTCTTTCATCATACTACGCAAAATTACACAAAAGAAAACACAGGGCTCATGGGAAAAATGAAGTTGGGCACAAACATTCCAAAACTTTATCAGTAATACACACAGAAAAGATAGGAATCTAATAAAAATAATATAGTTTTACATGTTTAAAAGGTTAAAAAATGTATAAATACTACAAGGATGGCACTTTGCCAACCTTGAGCTGTTCTTAATAGCTCAGCCTCCAGAGTGGCATCACAATATCGGCCAGTCTTGAATAAAATAATTCAGGCACTTCATTCATTACATAAATATGTACTGAGAACCTACTATGCAGAAGTACTTCCTGCCGAAATTTGCTTGTGAAAGTAGCTGTCCACCTGTGACTTATCATAAAGTGGTGAAAGCAGAGTCATGAGTGGGATGGAAAGTTCTAATGGGTGTGGCTCATCACACACTCAGAGAACTGAGAGAGCCAGTAGATGTCTGAGAGGTGAGTGCGTGTTCATTCTGTGGATTCTCACGCAGCTCAGTTCAGCTGGGTGCAGTTTCTTTCTTTCAGCTCATGTTTCTGTGGAAGAAATCACTGCTAAGCAAATGTGAAATTTGCATTATATTCAAATTGTTCCTTAATGCATCAATCCATTGGAACACATTTCTGTTTTCAAAACAAATATTATAGCAAAATTGACTGTATTTAAATTTAAATAGCCACATGCAGCTAGTGGCTACTGTGTTGGAAAGTGCAGCTATATATAAAGCAGCAAGAGCACTCACTAGTCACACACCCAGAGCTATAATAAAAAAGCAAGGAAGAAAGGAAACAGGTATTTATATATATGGCTCTAGAGTTTGGAAGACATACTGACCTAAAGTTAAAATTTCAGAGTCATTAGCATATTGAGTTTAAGGACCCATAGGGGCATTCACCTGAGGAATGGAGTTGTGAAGACTTAAGCTGGGTACCAACCTTGAGCTGTTCTTCATAGCTCGGCCTCCAGAGTGGCATCACAATATCAACCAGCCTTGAATAAAATAATTCAGGCATTTCATTCATTACATAAATGCGTACGGAGAACCTACTATGCAGAAGTACTTCCTGCCACCATTTTCTCTGGTATTTTTCTTATTATTCAGAAGACCTAACTCTCATGCTCCTGGGGAGATAGAGTCTGGGAGAAGAGCCCATTTTGGTGCTGTCTACTTAACAAAGCAGAACAGATGGGCAAACTTAATATAAGAAAAATCCAGATTTATCAAGAGGTAATTAGTCATATTACAAAAGGCTTCACTGTTGGGTTCCTTTAAATAGCTCACCTCCCTAATGCTTTTAAAATATAATTTGATTTAGAAAATACATTTGTTGCATAAAATGAGGTATATTTGTGTTTGCATGGCTGCAATGGGACAATTCATTTCTAATCTATCTAATCTCTCTCAAGGTCCCTGGTTTTCAGTATACCTGCCCTGGACCTTTTTAGAAACAAGGTCCCAGTTTAAAATCTCCTTTCTGAGAAAAATATACCTAAAGGCAAGGAGAATATTTTCTGCAATCCCAAAGCATTTCCTCAAACATTTCTCAGATGTTTCAAGTTTGCCCTGGGTAGTCTACGTGAGGCATCCTTTTGAATCCTTGCATTACCACATTAGTTACATCAGGAATATAGAATTTCAGTAGGCCCAGAGATTCAGAATTGCTAAGGGGAAAAGACGTCAGCATGGGCCTTACCTTTCCTGCCAGGAACCATCTAGTGGTCCAAGGTAGCTTGGTTTCTTCTGACTTTTTCGTCCTCTTTGATACTTCTTGACGATCTCATGAGTGAAGTTTCTCTTCCATGCTGAACCCAAGAAGAGCTGTGGCCAACCTGGAGGTTTTCTGGAACACCAGGGGAGCAGTCCTAGTTTGGAGAAAAGACCTACTCTGGAGAAGCAGCATCTCGGGCTGTGCATTGGGACTCTTCTCTTAATATGTGGCACCCACACAAACACTGAGATTCACCTGCATGAAAAGTAGACAAACAAAAGCTGGGAAGAAGAAGCATACCTCCCAAACCCCTTCATTCATTTATAAACCCTTATGGATGCCCAGCACCTAGCATGATGCCTGGAAAAGAGACAACAATCGGTAAAAGCAGGCCTGCTGAGCCGAACTCAACTACTGCAGGTTAGACATTAGCTTAGGCTCCCAAAATTAAAAGATGCGGAAAATACAGTCTTTGTCCTCCAGGAAAGAGTTCAACTCTCTGGATATACTTCTATAGCCAGTCTTTTTCCATATTCTACCCTCCCACCCACCAACCAACCAATTGACTAGTTTTCAGGAAGTGCTTACTATGTGCAAGGCACTGTGACACACCAGATACTGGAGGGGTTACAAACGTTACAGTCTAAATGAAGAGATCATTTGTAGACACAGGAAAATATGATAATAAATAACATGATATGCTTGGTTCCTGATGAGTGCTCAGGAAAGGCTTCCTAGAGCATGTAGGCCTTGCACTAGGTTTTAAAGGATAGTAGGAAGGTGAATCAGATGTTTGGAGGACAGTGGCTTAGACTGATCTGGCTAAAGCAGTAGTTAATTTTAGGGAATAGAGAAAATAAAGATGAAAAGTTACATTAAAGTGCTATCTGGAAGAACTTTAATGCCTGAATAAAATATCAATTCTATTGTGAAGGCAACAGTGAGTTGATGTAGGCTTTATGTAGAGAAATAAAGATGAAATAGGAAGGCTACTAAAAAGCAAATTCATGTTTGAGGAACATGTTTGAAATGGTAGGGAACTAAGCAAATGGAAACGTCTAACAAGTAGAGAAGCAGTAATACATGTCAGGAGAAAAATCAAGGCTAGAAATTTGGTCAAGTGTCTATGATAAGTAAAAGCTGTAAGATGTGTAAAAAAGAGTTTTCAAGAGAAGAGCAAAAGGCCAATGACTAAACCTAGAAGAAAGGCAATATTTTGAGAACAAGAAGAGATGCTAGTGACTCAGGGGAACCAGGAGAGTGCTGAGGTTGGAGGCCAAAGAAGATGCCTTTCAGGAAGGCACTGACACATCCAGTAAGTCTGAAGCGAAAGAAAGGGAAATTGGGCATTGAGAAGTGGCAGGCAGTAGGGACAAATGAAGGTTTAAAATCTCAGGCAGACTTGGGCAGTCCCCCGGCTCCTCCACTTACTAGCTAGGTGGTCTTTGCAAAGTTAATCATTCTCTCTTTTCTTTATCTGTAAAATGGAGATAACAATAGAAACTATCTCATATGGTGGTTATAAGAGTTAAATAAAGGATAATAAAAAGTACTTAGATGATTAAATAGAGATGATGTTTGCAAAGCTCTGAGTACAACGTCCGGTACCTGGCAAAAACTGGATGTGTTAATTATAACTGTCTTGATGTCTAAAGACAATATGGGACTGAGTAGGGGTAGCAATATTGAAGGAGGGGAGCAGGGGGAAGAAACAGGCATAATTCTAAGGAAAAAGCTAGAAGAGTTAGAGCAGGGTGGGACTGGGGAGATAACTTTGGAAAGAGGAAGGAATCCCTCTTCCTCCAGAACAGGACTCTGTATTGTTGCCCATTTACCTTATGTTGCCTGATTATTCATTGCTATGGAACTTTTCTGAGTACCCAGGACACATGAATGAACTTGACCGGATACCTTACTAATCTGCTGTGAAAGTGCCTTTTTGCCTTTGCCCTCTATCTTGGATCTCATCTAAATGTCAAGTCATACCTTAATTCAGAATGATATACATATATTTAAAAGTCCAATGTATGTAATAGATTTATTAACTAAGATTCTTCCATGGCTCCCACTGTTACTGTGAAATCAGTATGCCATGATCACTAGGTCACTTAGAGGATGCTGACATGGGTGCTATAATATTTAGCCCATTTATCAATTTGTATGTTTACAGAGCACTTTAAAAAAGTAACTGTCACAATATGGAAGCATTTGGGGTAGGGGAGGATTTCAAATTTCTAACAGAATAAATTTAAGCTGGCCCAGAGCTCAGTTGGGTGATAGCACCCTCCACCCAATCCCCAGGAAGAAGCAAGACATTAAGAACATGGAGTTTGGAGCCATGTTCTAATCCCAGCTCTACTTCTCATTAGCACTGTGATATTGTGCAAGTTATTTGAGCACTATAAATCTCAATGTCACCATCTGTAAAAATAGAACTGATGACACCTACCTTTGAGGGTTGTGGTGAGAGTTATACAAGCTCATATATATAAAGTGCTCAGGACTGTGCCTAAGACAGCAAGTGTTCAACATGTGTCACTGCCCTTCCTTAGGCTCTGATTTGAAACATGCCACTTGACTTCTTTGTGCCAACATATCCATTCTGAAAAACTGGAGAGATGTAATAGTGTATACATACACATGGTGTGAGGATAAGTACGATTATGTGGGAAACTTAAAACACACACACACACACACGCTTTTTCTAACCTTCTGCATTATTGTCTGCTGGAGCATAGTGAGCTTAAGGCCTCAGCTGGGCCACCTGTCAATACTACGAAAAGTATATGACCTGTGACAGGCATTTTTCCAAGTTGAGACAAATGTATGTACTTAATATTTTTAAAAAAGCAAACTCCAGTGAGAAAAGTGAGTGAAGAGGCAGGAGACAGAGTAAAGAATGTTTTTTTGTGGTGGGGAAGCCCAGTCAACAGGGGGAGGGAGTGGTGCTACTCCAGATGGGCCCTGTCCCTCCAGCTGGCAGGAAAGGATGAAGTATGCTACAGGTTCATTTGGAGGTTGGCAGAAGAGGGAAGGGGGAGCTTGATAATTTGAAGACAGCTATCCCTATCCCACGATATTTAGAAGTTTTATGTGTGGGTCCTCTCACTGGTGACCGCCACCATGAGACCGTGCTCCACTTGACCTGTATCCCAGCAGAAGGCCCCTTGTCCACCTAGGTTTCTTCCATCAAATTATCTGATATGGTTTAAATTAGGATCTTACTATTTCAGGGTGCCAACCAGCCATCTCTCCTAGTAAAGAGCCTTTCATCATATTTTGTAATCTCTGTAATGAAATATATTTTTCAAGGGAGCATTGTAATAGCAGTCAAAGTGAGTTTTCTGTTTCATGTCAGAGAGGGCATTTGTTCACAGAAAAGAGTATTTTCTTTTTATAGTTTTTCTTGTTTTAAATAAATACTTGAGTTTTAAGAAGTCTGTGACAATTGCTCTATTTCTGCCTTAGGAATTGATCAGAAAGGGATCCAGGGTCCAGAGCTGCTAGACTGGAAGATAGACTAACTCTCTACGGATGGAATGGCTAATCCTGCCTGAAATGCTCAGAGTTCAAATCAGAGACTAGGTGGGAGGTAGATTAGCGCAGGGCTAAAGATCTTCTTGGAGCAAACTGATCACCCGCAGGAAAGTCCTGCTTACATTCTCTGTCCACCCTTTAGTTGGCCTGGCTCCATACATGGTTCCTGGCTAAATGAGACAGACAGATGGGTTTAATGCTTGCCTTGACTGCAGACCATCTTCGGTCAGGTGCTTCCTTCGACCAGCCCCTTCACAAGCCCCTCCATTCTCCTCTTCTTTGGGCAAGTTCTGCCCACCGCGTCTTTTGGAAAGGGTTCACTAGGAAAGGCTACCACTGAACTTGGGCGGGCTGCAGCGCCAGGGGAGGCCTGGAAGGGAAGGGTGGAAGGGTTGAGGGGGCAGGTCAGACCACAGGTGGACTCACGGCTAGAGGCGACATTGTACAGCCAGCGTTGGATCTGGTCGCGCCCCCGTCCCCACCCCCGCCCCGCGGGCAGTTTGGCGCAGTCAGCAGTTTTCTGCATGGTAAGAGTTAAATCGTGTTTTCTGGGCTCTCCATTTAACCCCCTTACCTTTGTAACCAATAAATCCTCTTACAAACCTGAGGCGGCAAACGAAAAAGCCTGAATTGTTGCCGCTAGGGAGAGTCACTTCCTGGTGCACTGGGCGCCTGGACTTCCGACGCACACGCAGGCAGCCTAGGGCGGGCGCAGCGGGACACGCGGCTCCTCCCAGGCGGCCCACTCGGGGCCACTAGTCTCGGGGAGACCCTCTCCCTACTCTGCAGGGGAGCCTTCTCTAGAGACCTTCCTCAAAAGCATTCATCGCCCCACTGCCCAGCGCCTTCCCTCCACAAGTTCTTCTCCCCTCCCTTCTGCTCCCCCCAGCTCCCCGAGTTCTCCACCCTCCCCGAGACCCCGCCCATCGCCTGCTCTTCTCACTGTCTTATTGGTGGATCTGGATAAACCTCAAAAATCACGTAGACGTTCACACTACTGCGTTAATAGTGCTGCCCATCTCTTCGCGGCTTGTGCTTTAACTCTTTCAGCGAAAAGAATAGTTTATAAATGGTAGAATTGCAGGCATCTGATCCATAATGGGTTGGAAGATTGGGAGATGAGGGAGGTTTTCTCAAATCGCAACCGTTTGTCAAAGTCAGCCCCAATTTGGGGCCATAGGCTTTTTCAGAAATTTGTTCTCCCTCTATTTTACATTGTATCCAAAAAGTATTATGTTATTATGACAAAGTAAACCTGGTTTCTCAACTGGATCCCAGGCAAGGCTACTAAATCCTAAAACCTCAGCAAAAGAATGTTTGTCTTCAACTACAGAACTCAGAAGGAGGCCAGAGACCACTAGTTCATTTACCAGCTCCTGGACTGTACTCAATGGTTCCTCTGATTTTTTGAGAGGTAACGAGCCCAGCCAAATGAGTAAGATAACGTTAAAGGATGTACACATGTGTGTGCTATAAAAAAATATTGCTTTAATGGTCTAAAATTTACAGTAAAGTGAACCTATATTTAATGACACTTGACTTGTCTGCCTAATAGTAATTGGGTTTAAATGGAAAGCACTTTATAGTCAACATTTCAGTTATGTTGCCTGTTTTGCCTGTTTTGTACTATGCAATGCATTAGCCCTATTAAGTACAGCAGTATATTAAACATGGACCAATACCTCAAATAACAGTAAACGTTAAGTCAGCTGGACCAAGGCTCAAAAGCCAGATCTGCCACTTATAAACTGTGTAAACTCGGGCAAGTTACTTAATTACTCAGTGCCTCAGTTTCTTCATTTGAAAAAATGTCTATAATAATTGCACCTACCTCACAGTCATGATAAAGATTAAATAATTTAATACATGCGAAGTGCTTAGAACAGAATAACCACACACAATAAATGTTAGCTATTATTATTCAAAAATTGTGTGTGTGTGTGTGTGTGTGTGTATACACATGCATGCAGACAAGTGCATACCTTTTCAGAAAAGATTTTACTTCCCATTCTAAAGGCTTGAGCTTGTAAATGCTTGACTCAAATTGTGGCCTCTTCCTAATTGCTCTCATGGCTCTTATGCAAAATGAGTTCCAACCACTGCTTTGAGTTTCTTAGCCTACGCAGCTGTAACAAGTGAAACCAGGCTACAGAATGCACCTTTGGTTCTCTTTCCCCTTTCTCTTATTTTAATCCCCTCTCATGCGGATAGCCAGCTCTACTCGTTTCCTTACCTCTTCTTCCCCTTTCTTCTCCCAGTTCGTTTCCGCGCCTTTGTCATTTCTCATCTCTTTCATCCTTCGTTGTGCCTCGCACAGAGCCAGCTTCCCAGAAGGGGCTCAATAAATATCTGATGAATTGAACTGAATCCCACCTTGTCACCCATTCTGAGCATCCAAGCAAACTCATTTAAAGCAGGTCTGTCATTGGAGAAGGCAGAACCCAGAGGGTTAAAGAGAGAAAAGACCTATTCGAATAGTTATAATCAATAGAACAAGTAACAACAAATGTTGGAGAGGGTGTGGAGAAAAAAGAACCCTCGTACACTGCTGGTAGGACTAAAAATTGGTACAGCCACTATGGAAAACAGCATGGAGGTTCCTCAAAAAACTAAGAATTGATCTACCATATGATCCAGCAATCTCTCTACTGGGTATTTACCCCAAAGACTTGAAAACCCATATCCAAAAAGACATTTGCACACCGATGTTCATAGCAACATTATTCACAGTGGCCAGGACATGGAAGCAACCGAAGTGTCCTATGATAAATGATTGGCTAAAGAAGCGGTGGTACCTATATACAATGGAATATTACTTAGCCATAAGAAGAGATGAAATACTGCCATTTGCGACAACATGGATAAACCTTGAGATAATCATGCTAAGCGAAATAAGCCAGACAGAAAAAGTTGAAAATCACATGATATCACTTATATGTGGGATATAAACCTAAAAGCAACAAATGAACAGGACAAACAAACAGAAACTCATGGACATGGACTATAGACTAGTGGTTACCAGAGGGGAGGTAGATGGAGTAAAGAGGGTCAAATATGTGGTGACAGAAAGAAATCTAACTATAGGAGGTGAACACACAGTGGAAATATATATATGCTTACTGCTAAAGTATACAGCTGAAACTTATTGAATTTCGTTAACCAATGTCGCCATAAAAATAAATTAATTTAAAAAAATAAAAATTAAAAAAAGAAACGAGATAAAGGAAGCTATAATGTAATCATTTAGCCATTAATTTTATGTTTATTTAATCTGATAAAGCAGGTTCTTCTATAAAAGAGAAATTATTACATTTGTAAGAGGGAAAAGAAATACCCATATTATAGAAAAGGTTAAACTCTTCAACCAGAAAGTTAACAAATGGACATGTCACAGGTGCTAATATTGTTAAATTAAACAAGAGCTGAAAACTTTTTGTAACTTTGTTATTAGCAAACCAAATCACAACAAAGTGAAGTCTCTAGAAATTTGTCAAACATTCTCATTTTGGTCCAAGCAAAAGATTTCTGAAAGGCCACAACACTAGCTCTCAGAAATAACATGTGTTAAAATCACTTGGCAGTTAGGGCTGGTTTGGTTCCATTAACTACAGTACTTCCTGCTTTGGGTGTGCTTTCCTTCCATTTAGGACTGTGTTAGAGGCTATGAGGGATAGATATACAGACCATGCCCTTGAGATTGTCTGACCTGATGTGGAGATAAGACACATAAAGTGAGAATACACAACAATGGGCTTTGGTAATTCTAGGATAGCATTGATCTTCTTGGTAGTCAGGGAAGGATGAGAAAGTGGGGAGTTGAATGCGTAGTATTTGAATAACCTATAAGGAGAAGGGAGCTGCAGCATGAAAACAGGAATGAGCAACAGGTGTCCAAGGCTCTTGAGGCAGGTCTGACTAGATGGGAGAGTGGTTCCAAAGTCATTACAGATCCAGCTGATCAAATCAATAGATCTGGGAAGATAATAAAGGGCCTTGAGTGCTGGGATGCGAGGTTTGGTCTAGTTTTCGGAGCAATGGGCAGCTAATGAGTTTTTCATGAACTGTTTCTGGAAGAGAACTCTAGGAGCTCTGTGTAGGTTGTATTTTAGGGTGCAGTGACCTGGAAGCTGAGGGAGACTGCCATAGTTATCCAGATGGGAGGTGCTAAATCTCTGTACTAAAGCAGGCCACACTACATGCTGCAAGCGTTTCTCAAAATGTGGACAGGGGCCCATCTGCAATGTAATCAGCTGAAGTGATTATAATAAATGCAGGTTCCTGAACTCCACCTGACACCTAGGGACGTGAAATCTCAGAGAGTTAGGCTCAGGCATATCTGGGTTTGTAACAAGCACCTCAGGTGATACCCATTCAAATTTCAGCCTTACTGCCATGCAACAACTGAAATTCCAGATGAATTAGTTAAAGGTCAAAAAATCAAATCATAAAAGCCCTAAAATAAAATATAGATGACTATGGTAAAATTTGGACATAGGAAGACTTTCCAAACTGAAAGGCAGTAGGAAAAAAACTACCATGTAGGTAAATTTTACTACATAACCCTTAAAAACTTCTATATGACAAAATATAATTAAATTAAACAGAAACAACAAACAGGAAAAAATATACAAGTATGGCAAAAGGTCATTATCTTTATTATTTAAAAAGCTTAAGTAAACTGATAAAAACACCTCAATAGAGACAGATGCTCTCACACATTACTGACAGAATTGTAAATTGACACAACCTTCTCAGAAAGCATTTAGAATTAAGAGCCTTTAAAAATTTCAGACCATTTGCCCCAGAAATTCCACCTCTAGGAATCTATTCTAAGGAAATAGAGATGTGGACAAAGATATATGCCCCAAGGGTCTCACTGTTGAAAATAGAAAAAACAATAATTCATAAAGATCTATGCACCCCTATATTCATGGCAGCACCATTTACAATAGCCTAGTGCAACCTAAATACCTATCAACAGATGATTGGATAAAGAAGTTATGGTTCATATATACAATAGAATATTACTCCGCATTAAAAAATGAAATCCTACCATTTGCAATGACATGAATGGACCTAGATGTTATTATGCTGAAAGAAGTTATCAAAAACAGACTTACAAATATAGAGGATAATCTGGGGATGGCCAGAAGAGAAGGGGGTTGGGGACTGGAGAGTGAGGTGAAGGGTTAAAGAAGTACAAATTAGTAGTTGACAGATGGTCATGGAGATGGGGAGCACAGCATAGGAAATGCAGTTAGTATTAATGTAATGGGTAGGTGGAGAGCCAGAGGAGAGAAAGAGCAATTAAGGGGATCATTTTATAAACTATGTAAATGTCTAACCAATGTACTATATACTTGAAACTAATAAAATAAAATTTATTTAAAAATAATAAAATAATTGAGTTTGTAAAAAAAAAAAAGCACCCTCAAAGTCCAACATTAGAAAAATGGGGAATAGTTACATAAAATATGGTCTATAGACTAATTGTAAAGCCACTAAAAATTACATTCATGATATGGTGTTAGAAGTAGCATGTCATTACCTTTAGACTGTGAGGAGTGGCTGGTAGGAGGCATAAGAGGGGGCTTCTGAGAGCTGATAATATTCTGTTTCTTCATCCGGGTTCTGGTTATACAGGTGTGTTCATTTTGTGAAAATTTATTGAGTTGTATTCTGGATATGTTATAGTTCAATACAAATTTATCTTAAAATTATGTCTTTGAAAGTTTTTAATGACATGGAAATATGTGTAGAAGGCAATCTTAATTGAAAAAGGCAGGATAAAGAATTGTGCATCAATATGATCTGAAATTTGTAAATAAAAATGCATCGAAAGGTAATATGCCAACTGTTTACTCTAGATGCTGTTTACTCTAG